GAGACGGGGTTTCACCATGTTGACCAGGATGGTCTCGATCTCTTGACCTCGTGATCCACCCGCCTCGGCCTCCCAAAGTGCTGGGATTACAGGCTTGAGCCACCGCGCCCGGCCTTATTATGTTTTTATGGATAGAAATAAACCATGTTGCTGGGCATAGTGGCTCATGCCTGTAATTCCAGCACTTTGGAAGGTTAAGGCAGGAGGGCTGCTAGAGCCCAGGAGTTCAAGACCAGCCCTGGCAACATAGTGAGATCCTGTCCCTATAAAAAATAAAAAACAAATAAGGCAGGCATGGTGGCACATGCCTGTGGTCCCAGCTACTCAGGAAGCTGAGGTGAGAGGATTGCTTGAGCCTGGAGGTTGAGGTTGCAGTGAGCTGTATTTGCACCACTGCACTCCAGCCTGAGTGAAGAAGTGAGACTCTATCTCCAAAAAATAAAAAAATTAAAAAAGAAATAAACCATGTTGATTTTTAGTTAAGAATGTAAGACAATCTTTATAGGAAAGTTATTTGTTCTGTGCTATAGCTGACAATCTTGTTCTAACAACACATGGCTAGAACAAGAGTTAAAGAATCCCAAAGTTTAAAGGGCATATAATTCAGTCTCCCAGCTCAAGAAGAAATTCCTTCATACTGAGTCTTAGAATTACGTAAAATGGTTGTATTTGTTATTCACACTGCACCAGGCAATAATTCAAACCAGCTTGCTCACTCAGATCAAACAATACTTCTGAGAAATAATTCTCAACAACTGCATCTTTGGACAATGATATGCAAATATGCATAATTATTAAGAATACCTTTCTGCCTCAGAGACTCTTTACCACTTCTCATACTGTATTTGTACTGACTTGCTAAGGATCACATTAACCTCTCTATGCCTCAATTTTTTCCAGCAGTAAAATGGAGGGTTTAGTCTAAGCTAGACAAATTCTATGCCAAAAGATTTTGGGGTGAAAGATTAAATAGATTTGAAACAAACAAAAGTCCGGCTTTTTAAAAGGCCAGACTTTTTTTTCTTTCTTTTTTTGTGGGGGGAACAGGGTCTTCCTCTGTCACCTAGGCTGGAGTATGTGGCTTAAACACGGCTCACTGCAGCTTCGACTTCCTAGGCTCAAGCGATCCTTCCACCTCAGCCTTTCCAGTAGCTGGGACTACAGCTCATGCTGCCATGCCTCGCTAAGTTTCGTATTTTTTGTAAAGATGGGGTTTTACCATATTGCCCAAGCTGATCTTGAATTCCTAAGCTCAAGTGATCCACCCAAAGGCAAGACTTTTTTTTTGCTTTTTTATCTCATCTGGTCTTGAATATTTTTGACACCATTCCTTCTTAAAACTATATTTACAAGAAGCCTCCCTGGTTTCTATTAGCTATATTGCAATCACTCATTTATAATATCACCTTTCAGAAAAGTAAAAATTAAAATTCTGAGATCCTTAGGGGACTAGTTATATAAAAAGGCTGAGAACAGGAAAACCCATTTTACTACTCATCTTGAGTTCCTGATTGTAAGTGAAAAGAAGGGGCCTCATTACTTCTTAAATTCTAAAACAGCTGGAATGTATCAAATTAGTATATTAAATGACATATAGGCAAAGTTCTTCTCATGCATTATCTGATTATCTGCTTGTGTAGAAATTATAAAGGAAGATCTGTTTTCTTTTTTTTTTTTGAGACAGAGTTTTGCTCTTGTTGCTCAGGCTGGAGTGCAATGATGCGATCTCGCTGACCGAAACCTCTGCCTCCCGGGTTCAAGTGATTCTCCTGCCTCAGCCTCCTAAGTAGCTGGGATTATAAGCATGCGCCACCATGCCCAGCTAATTTCGTATTTTTAGCAGAGACAGGGTTTCTCAATGTTGGTCAGGCTGATCTCGAACTCCCAACCTCAGGTGACCGTGCCCAGCTTATAAAATATTTTCAAAGTTTAAAATTAATGTTTTGGGTTTTTCTTTTCTTTTCTTTTTTTTTTTTTGAGACAGAGTTTCGCTCTTGTTACCCAGGCTGGAGTGCAATGGCACGATCTCGGCTCACCGTAACCTCCGCCTCCTGGGTTCAGGCAATTTCCCGCCTCAGCCTCCTGAGTAGCTGGGATTACAGGCACGTGCCACCATGCCCAGCTAATTTTTTATATTTTTAGTAGAGACGGGGTTTCACCATGTTGACCAGGATGGTCTCGACCTCTTGACCTCATGATCCACCCGCCTCGGCCTCCCAAAGTGCTGGGATTACAGGCTTGAGCCACCGCGCCCGGCCTAATGTTTTGGGTTTTTCTTCATGTGTCTCTTTTCCAGATAGAGACTTTCTACATACTCATTACATTTGAAATTAAATAATTAAGAGAAAAACAAGACCAGACACAGTGATTCACACCTGTAATACCAGTGCTTTGGGAGGCCGAGGCAGGAGGATAGCTTGAGGCCAGGAATTCAAGACCATCCTGGGCAACAAAGCGAGACACATATCCCTACCAAAAAGAAAAAATGATCCAGGTGTGGTGGTGTGCACCTGTGTTTCCAGCTACTCAGGGGGCTGAGACAGAAGGATGGCTTGAGCCCAAGAGTTTGAGGCTGTAGTAAGCTATGGTCAGGCCACTGCATTCTGGGCTGGATGAGAGAGCTGGATCCTGTCTCAAAAAAAAAGGCGGGGTGGGAAGAAACATAATGTTTATTCATCTTAAAAGGAGAGGGGCAAAGCACAGATGAGAAAGAAAAAGAAATCATTCTAACTATAAGGCTGAGCACAGTGGCTCGTGCCTGTAATCCCAGCACTTTGGGAGGTTGAGGTGGGTGGATCACTTGAGGCCAGGAGTTTGAGACCAGCCTGGCCAACATGGTGAAACCTCATTTCTACTAAAAATACAAAAAAAAATTGGCCGGGCATGATGTTGGGTACCTGTATTCCCAGCTACTTGGGAGGCTGATGCAGGAGAATAGCTTGAACCTGGAAGAGGAAGGTTGCAGTGAGCTGAGATCACACCACTGTACTCTAGCCTGGGACACAGAGCTAGACTCCGTCTCAAAAAAAAAAAAAAAAAAAAAAAATCCAACTATAGATTAACTTTACTAACCTAATAGTGTAGAATACAGTGCTTTTACATTTCTAATGAGTAAATTTCCTTATTAGGAAATAATAACTTCAGATGCTTCACCTTTAAGTGAAATTATGGAGAAATGGAAAGTTCAGCTAATATTTTCTTTCAGCAAAAGATAAATGGCATTTCAAGCATGGTCTAGGGAAGACAAGTACAAATATAATACAGCAGCATATTAATCCAACTACTGAGGACAGGGGATCACAGGATTATCAGGGTTTGCTAAATAGGGAAGAGGATATTTATAGAGATCAGGGTTCTGCCTGAAAGGTACAAAGTAAGCTGATTTAAGAGGCTGGAAGAAAGAGACCAGAATAAGTCTATTCCATGCATCTATGCATATATGCCCACATTTTATTTCAACTGTCAAATGAAGGGAGACAGATATTATTATGGGGCTGAGTGTTGCAGTATAAATACAATAAAATTAATTTTTAAAGTGCATTTTTGGCCAAAGTATCCATTCGCTCAATTATCATTAAACACCAATAATCTGCCTTAGGTACAAGAGTGAGCAAAACAGACGTGATCTCCATGTAGGATTTATATTCCTGTAACATTAATGCAATTTAAGAAACATGAACTATGGGCCGGGCGCGGTGGCTCAAGCCTGTAATCCCAGCACTTTGGGAGGCCGCGGCGGGTGGATCACGAGGTCAAGAGATCGAGACCATCCTGGTCAACATGGTGAAACCCCGTCTCTA